CTACTTCCTGGCGGATGTCAGGTGGTGCAGTACTGGTTAAGCAGTGTAATTTCTCCAATGGTGTAGGGCGCAGACACCCTGTGATAAAGCAGCATGTCTCATTAAGAGCCACATCCACTGTTGAGGAGTTACGATGGTGGAGACATTACTTTTCATTCAACCTTTGTATTACCTCTTTTGAGTAAGGGTGAATTCTCCTGTATCCTCTAAACGTGGGATATGTTGATCCTGCACCATAACGATAAAGCCAAGGACACTAATGGAAGAAGAAAACCTCTCTTCTGCCCCTTTAAGACGGGGAAGCAGATTGATTGATTAAAATGCCAAGAAGATGGGGCAATCAATCGCAGAATATTAAACGGTGGCTATATTCGCTTGTGTAAATATATACAGCAAGACAGAAACGTGCCCATAAATCACCGAAAAAGCATGAAATATGAACCTAACCTTTGCAATTCATTATTTCTCAGGTTATTTATTCATTCCAATATTTGTTTGTTGCACTCTTTCTCTCCCCTCACCCCCGTCTTTTCCTTTCCCTCCCTGCTTTGAAAAAACAAATGTAAACCTCCCTGTTTGATACATTGAATAGGATATTGGATTTTGCTGTATGTACCCTAGATTGAAATTCCTTCCTGTGCCAGCAAAAATATGAATTGATGGGTCTCCTTTTCAAGGAAAGAGCTTTCTATCATTTACATCTTGAGAAAACTTGCTTTTTTTCTTATCCAAATCTCAGTAACAGCAAGGTTAAATAGAGTTGGCTCCCATACTACAACTTCTAGTATCCATACTGTCTGAAGGTGCATCTATATCAGGCACGGGCAAACTCGTCCCTCCAGGTGTTTTGGACTTCAACTCCCACCATTCCTGACAGCCTAACGGCTGTTAGGAAAGGTGGGAGTTGAAGTGTTAGGAATGGTGGGAGTTGACTGTCTGTGCAGGGTTCCATACTTTGTACTTTAACAACATAACCGTTCAATGCTAAGGCTTCCTGCTAAAATGGAACTGTAGAGGAGAGTCTACTGAACAAGCCAGTACCTGGGATCACACGTCGGGGACTTCCCAAGTGTCTAGGACTGTGTGATGTAGGACTGTGTGATGTATTGGCAAATAATGCGTGCAGATCCCAGTAAGGTGGCCTTTTGCAGCCAGTTGGTAATTTTGTCAGCGCCAATTGTGTTTAAGTGCAGGCTAAGGTCTTTAGGAGTTGCACCCGGTGTGCCAATCAGCACTGGGACCACCTTTACTGGCTTGTGCAAGAGTCTTTGTAGTTCAATCTTTAAATCCTCACATTGTGTCAGCTTTTCCAGTTGTTTCTCTGCAATCCTGCAGTCGCCTGGGATTGCGACATCAATGATCCATACTTTGTTTTTTTAACACAATTATGAGGTCAGGAGTATTTGTCAGTGTGTAATTCATGTATGATGTGTGTTTAAATGTAATTTTATGTGATAGGATTGTGATTTTAATAGAATTGTATTGCCAGGATGTAGTTTGACACAGAAGGGTTAAAGAGCAAAGTAACAAGCTGTGAGAATGTGACCCTGAGTTCTTGTTCTGTGAAAGATTAGGGAGTGCCAGAGATAAACTTCCTTCCAGCTGCAGTTTGTATTAGTTCCTATCTCTTTCGGTTTGTGTTCTTCACGTCTGTCCGCTGATGGTGTATGTTGTCTATTTTGAGCTGCTTAACTAAAGCTGAAAACCTGCTTTTACTGGAGACTCCAGAGTCCATTATTCTGAGCTTCTGCGATACTCTGCTACACACAAACAGTATTATGCTCCAAAACTCTGTCTGAATCCGGAAGTCCCAGAGGAGTTTGGCGTGTTCATTCTCTGTAACTTTTTCTGGCTTGTGATCCCACCAGTTCTTTGTTGCGATCAGATGGTGTTTGTGGCACAAGTTCCAATGAATCATCTGAGCAACGGTGTTGTGCCTCTGCTTGTAGTCTGTCTGTGCGATCTTCTTGCAGCAGCTGAGGATGTGATCTATTGTTTCATCTGCTTCCTTGCAGAGTCTACATTTTGGGATCTGTTGTCGACTTTTCAATTCTGGCTTTGATGGCATTGGTTCTAATGGCTTGTTCTTGGGCTGCCAGAATTATTATTATTATTATTATTATTATTATTATATAATAATAATAATAATAATAATAATAATAATAATAATAATAATTCTAGTAGCCCAAGAACAAGCCATTATTATTATTATTATTATTATTATTTAAATAATAATAATAATAATAATAATAATAATAATAATAATTCTGGCAGCCCAAGAACAAGTCATTTATTATTATTATTATTATTATTATTAAAATAATAATAATAATAATAATAATACTTATGGCAGCCCAAGAACAAGCCATTATTATTATTATTATTATTATTATTATTATTATTATGAAGGAGCCACAGGATGTTCACAAATTTGTCAGGGCACCCAGTGTTTTGGAGGATGGTCCAGAGAGCGCTGCAATTCACTGTGTTGAATGCCTTTGCAAGGTCAATGAATGCCATGTACAGAGGTTGATTTGTTCCTGCATTTTGTTTAATGGCTGCATTTTGATATTAATATCAAGTTCAACACATAGTCAGTGATATGATATCAATTAGGATTATTTTTAATAGTAACTCTCGAGTGACCGACAACTACATTTTTCTGGCATCTGCCAATTGCTATGGCTGCCATGGGTTAAGTATTAGCTTGCATTACCTGAAGGTTCTGTCCTGGGCCTGGTCCTGTTCAACATCTTTATGAATGACTTAGATGAAGGGCTAGAAGGCAGGATCATCAAGTTTGCAGACGACACCAAATTGGGAGGGAGAGCCAAGACTCCAGAGGACAGGAGCAGGATTCAAAACGATCTTGACAGATTAGAGAGATGAATGGCAAAACTAACACAATGAAGTTCAACAGGGACAAATGCAAGATACTCCACTTTGGCAGGAAAAAACGAAATGCAAAGATACAGAATGGGGGACAATGCCTGGCTCAAAAGCAGTACGTGTGAAAAAGATCTTGGAGTCCTCGTGGACAACAAGTTAAACATGAGCCAACAATGTGATGTGGCGGCAAAAAAAGCCAATGGGATTTTGGCCTGCATCAATAGGAGCATAGTGTCTAGATCTAGGGAAGTCATGCTCCCCATGCTCTATTCTGCCTTGGTTAGACCACACCTGGAATATTGTGTCCAATTCTGGGCACCACAATTCAAGAGAGATATTGACAAGCTGGAATGTGTCCAGAGGAGGGCGACTAAAATGATCAAGGGTCTGGAGAACAAGCCCTATGAGGAGCGGCTTAAGGGGCTGGGCATGTTTAGACATGATAGCAATGTATAAATATGTGAGAGGAAGCCACAGGGAGGAGGGAGCAAGCTTGTTTTCTGCTTCCTTGGAGACTAGGACGTGAACAATGGCTTCAAACTACAAGAGAGGAGATTCCATCTGAACATGAGGAAGGACTTCCTGACTGTGAGAGCCGTTCAGCAGTGGAACTCTCTGCCCCGGAGTGTGGTGGAGGCTCCTTCTTTAGAAGCTTTTAAACAGAGGCTGGATGGCCATCTATCAGGGGTGCTTTGAATGCAACATTCCTGCTTCTTGGCAGAATGGGGTTGGACTGGATGGCCCAGGAGGTCTCTTCCAACTCTTTGATTCTATGATTATATCCACCTGTGTTGTTCTCCTAACTCCTTTTCGCTGGCTGGGTGAGACATCTTACTTTGTGGTAGGCTGGGCAACCATGGCTCTGTGAAGCTTGCCATGCCATGATCCAAACTGCGTTCAGTTTTCAGATTTATTCGGTCATAAAACTGTCACGGTTATATTGGCCTAAGAGTTAATGCTTCTGACTCAAAGCCAGGCGGAATACATTTTAGCTCGGAGCCTTTGCAATATCCATCTCTTACATATATCAGCTCTCTCATTAATTCTCCAGGCCATTGCTATAAATCCATGGGCATCTGCAAGGCTTTGTGCAATGGGAGGCATACAAATTCGAAAAAAAATATGCAGATTGGGCAACATTTGAGCTGGCTTCCTAGCACTAAGCTGACGGAGAGCCTTTCCCTTGTCCCAGGATGCCTTTATATTACAGCTGCTTAACAGGGTGATGGATGCCCCGTCAGCCTCCAAAGTCTGGGAAAAACTGAATGAGGCGCTTCCTTGAAAATGCAAAATGCTAATGCCCCTCTTTTCGACAAACGCCTGACTCGGCTTATTTGGCGAAATTGCAATCGGATGCATTTTAAATGCAGCGCAAGGTTATCTTGAAAGGTCACCTACTTGCATATATGGATTTGCACCTACCAACCCATTCAGAAAGATTGCTTTATGGATAATGTAATTTACATAGAATCATAGAATCCTAGAGTTGGAAGAGACCTCAAGGGCCATGCAGTCCAACCCCATTCTGCCAAGAAGCAGGAAAATTGCATTCAAAGCACCCCTCACAGATGCCCATCCAGCCTCTGTTTAAAAGCTTCCAAAGAAGGAGCCTCCACCATACTCCAGGGCAGAGAGTTCCACTGCTGAACGGCTCTCACAGTCAGGAAGTTCTTCCTCATGTTCAGATGGAATCTCCTTTCTTGTAGTTTGAAGCCATTATTCCATTGCGTCCTAGTCTCCAGGAAAGCAGGAAACAAGCTTGCTCTCTCCTCCTTGTGACTTCCCTTTACATATTTAGACATGGCCATCATCATGTCTCCTCTTTTACTTCTTCTTGGCAGAATGGGGTTGGGCTGGATGGCCCATGAGGTCTCTTCCAACTCAATGATTCTATGATTATGGCAAAATAGTTGTACTCTTATCTAAATAGCCTCCTGAGATGTGAACTTAACAGTCCTGATGGATTTAAGGGAAATGTTAATGTGTGAGTATGTGTGTGTGTGTATATAATTGTACTATGCCTTGCAGCCCTGTTATCCCTGTTAATTTGGTTCTCTCTCCCCCCCCCCCCCCCCCCCCCCCCCCCCCCCCGCTCTCTCTTGCCTTTGCAGTGGGAACGCCTCTGGTTCTTAATCCTCACCTTTTCTTTCATCCTGACCCTGGTCTGGTTTTATTTCTGGTGGGAAGTTCACAATGACTACAATGAAATCAACTGGTGAGTAACGAGCGAACTGGGTCTTTGTGGGCACTTTTTCTTCCAAAGGTTGATGATATAATATTGTTTATCCAAAGTTCTACCATGTTGATCCTGCAACCCACATCATTCTGGGCACCACAATTCAAGGAGGAACTTGTGAACATTTCCAGAGAAGGGTGACCAAATTGGTCAAAGGTCTGGAAACTATGAATCCCTCTGAGGAGCAGCTTAGGGAGCGGATGAGGCTTAGTTTGGAGAAAAGAAGGCTGAGAAAAGGGGATGTGAGAGGCAGGTTTAAATTTAGGAAAGGATGCCACATTGATGACATATGCAGGAGGCAAGGTGGAACTGTCCCCTGGCCCCCTCTCTCTTCACTCTGACACAGAAGGCAGTTGGTGCTGGAGAGAGGGGGTCCCCAACTGATGACATATGCAGGACACAAGGTGGAACTGTCCCCTGGCCCCCTCTCTCTTCACTCTGACCCAGAAGGCAGTTGGTGCTGGAGGAGGGGTCCCCAACTGATGACATATGCAGGAGACAAGATGGAACTGTCCTCTGGTACCCTCTCTCTTCCCTCTGGCCCAGAAGGCAGTTGGTGCTGGGGGGAGGGGTCCCCAACTGATGACATATGCAGGAGACAAGATGGAACTGTCCCCTGGCCCCCTCTCCCTTCACTCTGGCCCAAAGTGGCAGTTGGTGCTAAGGAGAGGGGGTCCCCAATTGATGACATATGCAGGAGAGAAGGTGAAACTGTCCCCTGGCCCCCTCTCTCTTCACTCTGACCCAGAAGGCAGTTGGTGCTGGAGGAAGGGGTCGCCAACTGGTGACATATGCAGGAGACAAGATGGAACTGTCCTCTGGTACCCTCTCTCTTCCCTCTGACCCAGAAGGCAGTTGGTGCTGGGGGGAGGGGTCCCCAACTGATGACACATGCAGGAGACAAGATGGAACTGTCCCCTGGCCCCCTCTCCCTTCACTCTGGCCCAAAGTGGCAGTTGGTGCTAAGGAGAGGGGGTCCCCAATTGATGACATATGCAGGAGAGAAGGTGAAACTGTCCCCTGGCCCCCTCTCTCTTCACTCTGCCCAGAGCGGCAGTTGGTGCTGGGGGGAGGGGTCCCCAACTGGTGACATATGCAGGAGACAAGATGGAACTGTCCTCTGGTACCCTCTCTCTTCCCTCTGACCCAGAAGGCAGTTGGTGCTGGGGGGAGGGGTCCCCAACTGATGACACATGCAGGAGACAAGATGGAACTGTCCCCTGGCCCCCTCTCCCTTCACTCTGGCCCAAAGTGGCAGTTGGTGCTAAGGAGAGGGGGTCCCCAATTGATGACATATGCAGGAGAGAAGGTGAAACTGTCCCCTGGCCCCCTCTCTCTTCACTCTGACCCAGAAGGCAGTTGGTGCTGGAGGAAGGGGTCGCCAACTGGTGACATATGCAGGAGACAAGATGGACCTCTGGTACCCTCTCTCTTCCCTCTGACCCAGAAGGCAGTTGGTGCTGGGGGGAGGGGTCCCCAACTGATGACACATGCAGGAGACAAGATGGAACTGTCCCTTGGCCCACTCTCTCTTCACTCTGACCCAGAAGGCGGTTGGTGCTGTGGGGAGGGGTCCCCAACTGATGACATATGCAGGAGACAAGGTGGAACTGTCCCCTGGTACCCTCTCTCTTCACTCTGACCCAGATGGCAGTTGTGGGGAGGGGTCCCCAACTGATGACATATGCAGGATACAAGATGGAACTGTCCCCTGGCCCCCTCTCTCTTTCCTCTTGCACAAACAGAGGCTGGATGGCCATCTGCTGGGAGGGTTTGGATTGTGCATCACTGCCAGGCAGAATAGGGATGGACTCCGGATGGCTCTGGGGGTTGTTTCCTAGAACTTTATCAGTATGATTCCTTCTGCGGAGGTTTTTGGATGACCATCTGTCAGGAGGGCTTTGATTGTGTATCCTTGCCTGATAGAAGGGGTTGGACCGGATGCCCCACGGAGTCTCTTCCAGTTCTATTATGCCAACCTTCTGCACTGTGGATACAGAGTTTTTGCCAGCAAGGCTCCTCTTTAGTTTATAACGCTTTATCATTTTCTCCGGGGTGCCTTTTCCGTCCCTTTGCACAACCTGCACAACTTGCCTGGAATCTCTTTGAGCGAGGGGAGGCCGACAACCTAAATAAATATGCCACCCACGCCTTCGCAATCAGACATCGGATGTCTGCAGAGGCAGGGCTGGCATTAAAAATAGCACTGTGCGGTCCCTGGTAAGATAATCAGGGAGGAAATAGCAACGGAGCAGAAGAGCCGTTATTACCACTAAGCCCATCTTTGGCGAGAGAGGAAATGTCCTTTCCCAAGAGCTTAGGTGTTAAGGACCTCACAGGTGTGCTCTCAGATACCTGGCCCTACTAGGGGACCCCAGAAGCATTTTTTTGCAGTGTGTTTTGTGCAAAACTTAACTAGGTTTTTTTATATGCATGCTTTTGTGCAGAAATACATTTAATTTTTTTGCAGAAATAAATTCTTTACCAAGCCGGCTCTTAGGAATTGTGGAAGTTGAAGTACAAAACACCTGGAGAGCCGAAGTTTGCCCATACCTGCTTTAAATCGTTAACTATTGTTTTCAGAATAAAATTGAGTGAAATGTATACGGGGGAAACCCATTCACAATTGTCAAATACGTTCAGAATTACACACACACACACAATTTACCACCTAATTTATGGAGCCCCCAGTGGCACAGTGGGTTAAACCGCTGAGCTGCTGAAATTGCTGATTGAAAGGTTGATGGTTCAAATCTGGGGAGCAGGGTGAGCTCTCGCTGTTAGCCCCAGCTTCTGCCAACCTAGCAATACGAAAACATGCAAATGTGAGTAGATCAATAGGTACCACTTCTGCAGGAAGGTAAGGGCACTCCATGCAGTCATGCAAGCCACATGACCCTTGGAGGTGTCTATGGACAACGCTGGCTCTTTGGCTTAGTAATGGAGATGAGCACCACGAGCATCAAGGGGAAACCTTTACCTTTAACTTCCACCTAATTTACCCAGAAATGTAAACTACAAGGGAAAAAAACCTAAGACGAATAAGTTTATAGACAAATAAGGTATTCGTAACTCTTATATTTTATTAAAATCGAATGCATTGGTAACCCAACAATCTCTTTATTTTTGGCTTCCTCACTGTTGTTATGGAATATTTTCCCATGGCAATATAAAGCAACATTGGTAGTTTCTTAACTAGGATAAGACTTAATTCAGGATCGTATTGTTTTTAGCATTGTTAGCATTGTTAGTTGCTTTGAGTCACTTAAAAGATGAAGAGACTCAAATGAAACTGGCTATTATTATTATTATTATTATTATTATTATTATTACTATTACTATTACTATTATTATTATAAACACCACAAGATGAGTTCACAGCAGACACTTTGCTGGCTGTTGAATTGGATCACATGTCGGACACTTCCCAAGTGTCTAGGACTCTGTGATATATCAGGGAATAATGCGTGCAGATCCCAGTAGGGTGGCCTTCTACAGCTGGCAGATAGTATTTTGTCAGCACCAATTGTGTTTAAGTGCAAGCCAAGGTCTTTAGGCACTGCACCCAGTGTGCCGATCACCACTGGGACCACCTTGACTGGCTTGTGCCAGAGTCTTTGCAGTTCGATCTTTAAATCCTCATATTGTGTCTGCTTTTCCAGTTGTTTCTCTTCAATCCTGCTGTTGCCTGGGATTGCAACATTGACGATCCACACTGTTTTTAACACAATTATGAGGTCAGGAGTATTGTGCTCCAATGTCAGTCTGAATTAGGAAGTCCCAACAACCTAAATAATAACAATAACAGCAACCTTAATAATAATAATAATAATAATAATAATTTTTATTTTTATTTTTATTTTATTATTTAAATAAAAATATTATTATTATTATTTAGGTTGCTGTGAGTTTTCCAGGCTGTAGGGCCATGTTCTAGAAGCATTCTCTCCTGACATTTCACCCACATCTATTGCAGGCATTCTCAGAAGTTGGGGGATCCCTCAACCTCTGAGAATGCTTGCCATAGATGTGGATAAAATGTCAGGAGATAATGCTTCTGGAATGGTACCATACAGCCCAAAAAACTCACAGCAACCCAGTGATTCCGGCCATGAAAGCCTTTGACAATACATTATTATTATTTGAAACACAACAAAATGAGTCTACAGCAGACACTCTGCTGGCTGTTGTATTGGATCACACATCAGATACTTCCCAAGTGTCTTGGACTGTGTGATGTATCGGCGAATAGTGCGTGCAGATCCCAGTAAGGTGGCCTTCTGCAGCTGGCAGACGGTAATTTTGTCAGTGCCGATTGTGTTTAAGTGCAGGCCAAGGTCTTTAGGCACTGTACCCAGTGTGCCGATCACCACTGGGACCACCTTGACTGGCTTGTGCCAGACTCTTTGCAGTTCGATCTTTAAATACTATTATTATTATTATTATTATTATTATGCCACTTTTTCTACCTTAGACTCATAAATATTCTGAAAAACCTGGATATTCCCCAGTAGAACATATTAATCAGGCCCATAAATAACACTATGTAACACAAGTTTTGTTCCTGGGTTATCAATGTCATTTTCTAATTGGTTCTATCATAAAATCATGGAAAACATTTATTACACTACAAAAACTTTGTTTTTGCGGGACATCCTGCAGTACATTTTGCTTTGGTGTTTCAATGAATGTCTCATTGAGTCCCAACCAATTCAACCTAGTTTGTGGCAGCCACAAACACGAAGGTTCTGGAGTAGAACAGGAAATAACACTTTCAAACCAGGAACAGAAATGTTTCAAATTTTGTTCCATTGTGCAATCAAATCTGCAAAAGCCAGGCTGCAAATGTGAAGGAGTCAGAGCAATCGCCTTTTTGGGTGGCCAGGTCTCACCACTTTAACATTTGAACTGGAAGTTGGAGAAGATTCACTACCTCTCTGACATCAGACACACCAGCTTGCCATTGCCTGCACCATCTCTGATATTTTGCTTAGAGGTCTTCCCTCCGAAACTCTGGAGTTTAAGCTTATCGCTCTCTGTATGTTCTTTGCTCCTTCAGCCAGAGAATAATGACACACCTGTTCCATCAAATTGGCACGGAAAAGATAATGTCAAAAACGAGGTCGTTGTGTCTTCATGAAGACCATGTTGGTCTCAGAAATGTGCACACCGCTGGCACTCGGTGGCCTCATTATTGTGTGAGCGGGCACCCTGCGGTGACACCGGCTGCCTTCTGCTTGTCGCTGTCCTCTCCTGAGCAAGTCATCGGCCTGACTCTTGTCTCCCAGGCTGAGAAGGATCTGCTTCATTGAGGCTCTCTCCAATCAGCTCCAAACATCTGAAATAGCTTTCCCTTTTGTGGTTTGATTTGACCCCTGAATGTGGGCTCAGCGAGGTTTCTTTTTTCAAATTAATATTGGGTTTATTGAGCTTCACTATTTAAATGCAAATTCTGACATTTTCCATCTGGGAAGCGATGGGAGAGGGGTACCTACGGTGATACCAATTTATGTGTGTACCAAATGCTTTTAAACATGGTACATTGTTTTTTCTGAATGCGTCAGGGACCAGCACCAAAAAATCATAGAGTTGGAAGAGACCACTAGAGCCACCCAGTCCAACCCCCCGAGCATACTGGAAAACACAATCAAAGCATTTCCAACAGATAGCCATCCAGCCTCTAGTTAAAACTTCTAGAGAAGTAGACTCTATCAGATCCTAAGGCAGCGGAACAGCCCTTACCATCAGGAAGTTCTTCCTAATAAAAACACGGCAGCAGGAAAAATCCAATACACAAACCTGGAGCTTGGCAAAAACTTGGTACATGAAACTAAGAGCACTTGAAAGCAAGACCGTCATGAAAGTCCAACATTGACCCAACTGAGACAACCCTTTCCCATGAATCAATATAAAATATTTCCAGATCCCAAAATTGAAAGAAAAGCATTCTCTTGACCTTGCCAGCAGATAAAGACTTTTTATCTCTGAACTGATCTTCTTTGCGCCTGAGCACTCCGCCTCTGTTCACAAAAGCTTTGCTTTCTATCTATACTCTCATTATTTTGACTCTCATTAACTTCTGCACCCGAAAAATAATCTTCAGACAGTTGCTCAGAGAAAGACTGTGAAGGGCTTCTCCCAAGAATGTGGCCTTGGGAATCTTCCTAAGACAGCTCAGGCCTCTCGTCTGAGCTTAACTCAGGCCTAGGCAAACCCTCATTCCTACTGCCAACAGACCCAGTCCCACAATCAGGAACATCATCCCCATTCCCATCATGAACCGGGTTGTGGCACAGCTGGTTGGGAGTCAGCTGCATTGAAATCACTACTAACCGAAAGATCATGAGTTCGAAGCCAGCCCAGGTCAGAGTAAGCTTCCCACCATTTGTCTAGCTTGCTGTTGACTTTTGCATCTTGAAAGACAGTTGCATCTTTCAAGTAGGAAATTTAGAAACCATTTATGCGGGGAGCCTAATTTAACTAATTTACAATGCCATAAAAATCTCCAGCAGTGTGCAAAAGAATGAGGAAGTATTCAATCAGTGTCACAAGTGGATGGTGAAGTGACAGCTCCCCTGACAGCCAGAATTCAAACATACCTTCATGAAGCTGGAAAGTTGAATAGCCTCTGTGTAGCTGTCTGTTTATGTTGTGTGTCTATGGCATTGAATGTTTGCCATGTATATGTGCATTGTGATCCGCCCTGAGTCTCCTGTGGGTATTTTGTCGTGTCAAGGCAACCAGTCAATTGTATTACATTTCTAACAGAACAAAACAAGCAAACAGACAAAATACACAATCTGCGAGATTGGTAGTTGATTAAATGTCCTTTGACCAGTAGCTGGCCACTTGGAGTGCTTCTGGTGTTGCTGCAAGAAGGTCCTCCATTGTGCATGTGGCAGGGCTCAGGTTGCATTGCAGCAGGTGGTCATTGGTTTGCTCTTCTCCACACTCGCATGTCGTGGATTCCACTTTGTAGCCCCATTTCTTAAGGTTGGCTCTGCATCTCGTGGTGCCAGAGCACAGTCTGTTCAGCGCCTTCCAAGTCACCCAGTCTTCTGTGTGCCCAGGGGGGAGTCTCTCATTTGGTATCAGCCATTGGTTGAGGTTCTGGGTTTGAGCCTGCCACTTTTGGACTCTCTCTTGCTGAGGTGTTCCAGCGAGTGTCTCTGTAGATCTTAGAAAACTATTTCTAGATTTAAGTCGTTGATGTGCTGGCTGATACCCAAACAGGGGATGAGCTGGAGATGTCACTGCCTTGGTCCTTTCACTATTGGCTGCTACTTCCCGGCGGATGTCAGGTGGTGCAATACCGGCTAAGCAGTGTAATTTCTCCAGTGGTGTAGGGCACAGACACCCCGTGATAATGCGGCATGTCTCATTAAGAGCCACATCCACTGTTTTAGTGTGGTGAGATGTGTTCCACACTGGTCATGCATACTCAGCAGCAGAGTAGCATAGCGCAAGGGCAGATGTCTTCACTGTGTCTGGTTGTGATCCCCAGGTTGTGCCAGTCAGCTTTCATATGATATTGTTTCTAGCACCCACTTTTTGCTTGATGTTCAGGCAGTGCTTCTTGTAGGTCAGAGCACGGTCCAGAGTGACTCCCAGGTATTTGGGTGCGCTGCAATGCTCCAGTGGGATTCCTTCCCAGGTAATCCTCAGAGCTCGGGATGCTTGTCTGTTCTTGAGATGAAAAGCATGTCTGTGTTTTAGATGGGTTAGGGATCAGCTGGTTTTCCCTGTAATAGGCAGTAAGAGCACCTAGAGCTTCGGAGAGCTTCTGTTCTACCACCTCAAAGCTCCCTGCTTGAGCAGTAATGGCACGATCATCAGCATAGATGAAACTCTCTGTCCCTTCTGACAGTGGCTGGTCATTTGTGTAGATGTTGAACATGAATGGAGCGAGCACGCTTCCCTGAGGCAGGCCGTTCTTCTGTTTCCGCCATCTGCTTCTCTGGCCCTGGAACTCAACAAAGCAGCTCCTGTTTTGTAGCAGCTTTCCTTTCCGGTGAGGTGGTAGTCCTTTGTGATATTATACATTTTTCTCAGGAGGAGGCGGTGGTTCACAGTCTCATAGGCTGCTGACAGGTCTTTGAAGACAGCTCCTGTGATCTGCTGCCTTTCAAAGCCATCTTCTATGTGCTGAGTCAGGTTCAGCACTTGCGATGTGCAGATTTTGCCTTCCCTGAAACCAGCTTGCTGTGGGATGGAATATAAATACTGTAAATAAATAAATAAATAAACATCAGACACAATCACTGGTTGAACAGGCTGACATAAAACACACCATGGGAAAGTCATAAACACTCAGCCACATAGCACTTCGTGATAGGTTTGCCATAAAAGTGGCTACCTAAAGAATTGTATTCTCTTATATATGGTCTTCCATTGTGTGGAAATGTGTGGTGCCCCATGCTCCGTCATCCAAGATGCGCCATCCATGTTTGTTTCAGTTCAAGCATTCCCTTTCTCCCTTTTGTTTTGGATGAGAAAAGGACGCTTTGCTAATCCTTCGCCCAGTCTCTCAGAGCTTTGAGAGCATTAAATGCCTGTGTCTAATCTCTTCTCTCCATTCTCTCTTTTTTTATCCTTCAGGTTTTTATACAATAGAATGGGATACTGGAGTGACTGGACCATTCCAATCCTCGTCACCACGGCTACTGGCTTCACATATATCACAGCTTTATTGGTAAGAGGGTTAACGCTGCCATGCCACCTGAATTCCCAACCAAATATTTCTCGCTAAATCTAGAAGCACAGCATTGCATTTGTCCTTCTAATGGAACGCATTTGGAGGCGCTCTGAGGCTTTGATTTGTGTGTAACGTTGCGTTTTGTAGGGCTGTAGAAAGGACTTAAGGTTTTAGAAAGCAAGCAAGATTTTAATCTATGGGGTTGAAATGAGCATGGAGGGAAAGGTCAGCAGCATTCACTCTGTGCACAGATTCCCATTTACATGAGATAAAACATAGCCTGATATTTCCCAACAAATTGCTGTTTATGCATTTTTTAAACATTTGCTCTGGTTTTGTACTCTGACTTATTTTCTGTAAGACACCCTGAGTCCTGTTTGGAGAGGGGGTAGGATATAAATAAAGATTGGGTTGCTGTGAGTTTTCCGGGCTGCCTGACCATGTTCCAGAAGCATTCTCTCCTGATGTTTCACCCACATCTATGGCAGGCATCCTTAGAGGTTGTGACGTCTATGCCGTCGTGCCTGGGGGCTATAGTTTATATATTATTTATTTACTTTATTTATTTCTCAGCCCTTAGGTGACTCAGAGCAGTTAACAACAAACAGCAGCAAAGATTCAATGCTAACAACATACAAACCATATAAAAACAGTTAAGGCAGTAATACACTAAGCCAGTGTTTCTCAACCTGGGGGTCGGGACCCCTGAGGGGTCGCGAAGGGGTGTCAGAGGGGTCGCCAAAGACCATCAGAAAACACAGTATTTTCTGTTGGGGGTTCTGTGTGGGAAGTTTGGTCCAATTCTATCATTGGTGGGGTTCAGAATGTTCCTTGATTGTAGGTGAACTATAAATCCCAATATCTACAACTCCCAAATGTCAAAGTCTATTTTCCCCAAACCCTATCAGTATTCACATTTGGGCATATTGAGTATCCGTGCCAAGTTTGGTCCAGATCCATCATTGTTTGAGCCCACAGTGCTCTCTGGATGTAGGCGAACTACAACTCCCAAACTCAAGGTCAATGCCCACCAAACCCTTCTAGTATTTTCTGTTGATCATGGGAGTTCTCTGTGCCAACTTTGATACAATTCCATTGTTTCTGGGGTTCACAATGCTCTTTGTTTACATGTTAACTATAAATCCCAGCAACTACAACTCCCAAATGACAAAATCAACCCCCCTCCCCCCCCCCGCCAACCCCACCAGTATTCAAATTTGGGCATACCGGGTATTTGTGTCAAATTTGCTCCAGTGAATGCAAATACATCCTGCGGATCATTATTTACATGGCGATTCATAATGTTCGGGTTATGTTTGGGGGTCACCACAACATGAGGAACTGTATTAAGGGGTCGCGGCATTAGGAAGGTTGAGAACCACTGCACTAAGCAATTAACATCAATAAACATCAATCACATCAATAAGTGACTCATTAGCGTCTCATAACTGAAATCATAATCCAAGTTCGTCATCCGTTAATCCGATTTCCTATGATTCATTGTATTTCATTGCACTGCCTATTCAAACGCCTGTTCAAATAACCAAGTTTTTACTTTCTTCCGAAATGCCATTAGTGAGGGAGCCGATCTAATATCTGTGGGGAGGGCATTCCACAGCCGAGGGGCCACCACTGAGAAGGCCCTGTCCCTCATCCCCGCCAACCGAGCCTGAGTTGCTGGCGGGATCGAGAGCAGGGCCTCCCCAGAAGATCTTAAAGTCCTAGTGGGTTCGTAGGCGGAGATGCGTTCGGATAGGTAACTTGGGCCAGAACCGTTTAGGGCTTTATAGGCCAACGCCAGCACTTTGAATTGTGCCCGGTAGCAAATTGGCAGCCAGTGGAGCTGGCGCAACAGAGGAGTTGTATGCTCCCTGAGTGCCGCTCCTGTTAGTATCATGGCTGCCGAGCGTTGGACCAGTTGAAGCTTCTGAGCAGTTCTTAGTGAAAGAAACATGGACGTGGCATCTTTTCCCCAGGGGATTGCTTCTTGCCCTCCTTTAGAGAACTGGAACTCTCAAGGAGCAAGACAGTATAGATAACTCGAAATAGTCTTTATTGTTCACAATGAGTTATCTTCCTTAGGCATAAACTTGATATTCAAAGGGGGTAAAGAAAAGTCTTTGGAGTCTTGGGTCCAAGGAGCTTTCCAGCTGAGAAGCTTTCCAAGTTCCCTCTTTTCTCAATGGCTGTGAAAGTCGGAATATTCACAACCTCAGTCCAATAGCCTATATTTAAGGCACAAAGTCTTCCTCTTGATGCCAAAGGACTGGTTTGAAGGCGCTTAAGATTCCTCAACGTCCAGGGTGAACTGGGCATGAAGCATGAATCTTAAGAGTACAAACTGAAGAATTGGTGATAAGAGATGACTTGACTGAGGGCTTTAGAGCCAAGCCTTTCTCACGTCCATCTGCTGAGTTGTTCGAGGGTGGAATGAAAAAGAAAGCACTGCCCTCCTCCCCAGGAAGGGGTGGAGCCAAACAATTGGGCTGGGGGAGCAATTCAACCCGTACAAAACAACATTGATAGAAAGCAGTAGATAGCCAAACAATTCAACTGTACATTCACATTCACGCAGCGTCACAATGTCTGTTGGAAACTTGGCAAGTGGGGTTTATATATCTGTGGAATGTCCAGGGTGGGAGAAAGAACTCTTGTCTGCCGGAGGCAAGTGTGAATATTGACATTGGCCAGCTTTATTTGCATTTAATGGTCTTCTGTGCTCTCAAATAACATACTGTGTTCATCAAGTGCTCTGCTCCGGCTGACTTCTCTGGTTGAGTTAGTCTGCAGTGCCTTTCATGGTCCTTGATTAGTGTTTGGATGCTCCTTTTGGTGGTTTCTATGTAAACTCCCTGGTGGCACAGCAGGTTAAACCACTGAACTGCTGAACTTGATGACCGAAAGGTTGGCAGTTCGAATCTGGGAGTGGGGTGAGCTCCCGCTGTTAGCCCCAGCTTCTGACAACATAGCAGTTTGAAAACATGCAAATGTGAGTAGATCAATAGGTACAGAATGGGGGCCGTGTGGCTCGAGAACAGTACATGTGAAAAAGATCTTGGGTGCTCGTGGACAACAAGTTAAACATGAGCCAACAATGTGATGCGGCTGCAAAAAAAGCCAATGGGATTTTGGTCTGCATCAATAGGAGCATAGTGTCTAGATCTAGGGAAGTCATGGTCCCCTTCTATTCTGCCTTGGTCAGACCACACCTGGAATATTGTGTCCAATTCTGGGCACCACAATGCAAGAGAGATACTGACAAGCTGGAATATGTCCAGAGGAGGGCGACTCAAATGATCAAGGATCTGGAGAACAAACACTATGAGGAGTGGCTTAAAGAGCTGGGCATGTTTAGCTTGCAGAAGAGAAGGCTGAGAGGAGACATAATAGCCATGTATGAATATGTGAGAGGAAGTCATAGGGAGGAGGGAGCAAGCTTGTTTTCTGCTGCCCTGGAGACTAGGACACAATGGAATAATGGCTTCAAACTACACCTGAACATGAGGAAGAACTTCCTGACTGTGAGAGCCATTCAGCAGTGGAACTCTCTGCCCCGGAGTGTGGTGGAGGCTCCTTCTTTGGAAGCTTTTAAACAGAGGCTGGATAGCCATCTGTCGAGGGTGCTTTGAATGCAATTTTCCTGCTTCTTGGCAGAATGGGGTTGGACTGGATGGCCCATGAGGTCTCTTCCAAGTCATTCTATGATTTTATACCACTTCTGCAGGAAGATAAGGGCGCTCCATGCAGTCATGCTGGCCATGTTACTTTGGAGGTGTCTATGGACATCGCTGGCTCTTCAGCTTAGAAACAGAGATGCGCACCACCTCCCAGAGTTGGACATGACTAGACTTACTGTCAGGGGAAACTTTGACCTTTGCTTTTATGTAGACTTGTCCATAGCTGCATGGTATATGGTAAACTCCTGCAGAGGCGAGAGGATCCCTCTTGTCCTTTGCTGAACGTAGCATTTGTTGGATTTGATGAACATTTGATGAACCAACCTTGGACACAGCATATTATTTGAGAACACAGCAACGCTGGACCACTCTAACAATCACCATGTTGGACTACACAGAGAAGCCATTGAAATCCACAAGCATGTGGACAATTTCAACCTATTGATCTACTCACATTGTTGTTTTCGAACTGCTAGATAGACAGACGCTAGGGCTAACAGCAGGAGTTCATCCCAACCTGTGGCTTTGAACTGCCAATCTTTTGGCAGTTTAATCTGCTGTATTACTGCGGCCCTTATTCATCAATGAAACATAAATGGATTTTATGTTTAGATATGGGTTCCCAAGATACCTAATTTTGCATGTATATGCAAAAACAAGTATTCCAAAACCAGAAAGAAATCCTCAACCCCAAACACTCCCAAGCATTAATGAATCTATATAAATAAAAATGTAATGTTCGTTTGTGGGATTAACATAACTCAAAAACCATTGGATGAATTGACACCAAATTTGAACACAAGACACCTAACAACCCATTGTATGTCCTTCATTCAAAAAAATTGATTTTGTCATTTGGGAGTTGTAGTTGCTGGGATTTATAGTTCACCTACAATCATTCTGAACTCCACCAACGATGGAATTGAACCAAACTTGGCACACAGTTCTCCCATGACCAACAGAAAATACTGGAAGGGTTTAGTGGGCAGTGTCCTTTGGTTTTGGAGTTGTAGTTCACCTACATCCAGGGATCACTGTGGACTCAAACAATGATGGATCTGGACCAAACTCTACATGGATACTCAATATTCCCAAATGTGAACACTGGTGGAGTTTGGGGAAAATAGAATCTTGACATTTGGGAGTTGTAGTTGCTGGGATTTATAGTTCACCTACAATCAAAGAGCATTCTGAACTCCACCAATGATGGAATTGAACCAAACTTGGCACACAGTTCTCCCATGACCAACAGAAAATACTGGAAGGGTTTGGAGAGCAGTGTCCTTTGGTTTTGGAGTTGTAGTTCACCTACATCCAGAGATCACTGTGGACTCAAACAATGATGGATCTGGACCAAACTCTATACGAATACTCAATATGCCCAAATGTGAACACTGGTGGAGTTTGGGAAAATAGAATCTTGACATTTGGGAGTTGTAGTTGCTGGGATTTGTAGTTCACCTACAATCACAGAGCATTCTGAACCCCACCAATGATAGAATTGGGCCAAACCTCCCACACAGAACCCCCATGTGGGCCACAGCAACGTGTGGCAGGGGACGGCTAGTCTGTAATAGAATATCTGCTGCTTCCAGATGTAATTTTGAGCTCAAAGACACCAGGGACTCAAGTCTTCTCAGATCTGGAGTCCTGTAGGTATATTAGACTACAACCGGCTGAGGGGGAAAAGGAAAGGGTCTGAGGCTGTTAGGAATGGTGGGAGTTGGAGTCCAAAACATCTGGAGGGTCGAAGTTTGCCCATGCCTGATCTGCACTGTAGAATTCATGCACTTTGACATTACTTTCAAGTTCAATGCTATGGAAACATTGGAGTTGTACTTTTACACGTTCTTTAACCTTCTCTGCTAAAGAGTGCTGGTGCCTCCCCAAATCCCAGGAATCCGTATCATTGAGTCATGGCAGTCAAAGTGGTGTCAAACTGCATTAACTCTACAGTGCAGATGAACCTTTAGTCTTCAAAACCTTGTGCTATCAATTTTCTGCTCTCAGCTACATCCCTTTGCATACTAACAAACTGTCATATTCATTTTTTCCCAGATTTTAGCTCTGTGCCACATAGCCGTAGGACAACAAATGAACTTGCACTGGATCCACAAGGTAAGTTGCTATTGTAAACCAAAAGCTATATTGTTGAAGGCTTTCATAGCCAGAATCACTGGGTTGTTGTGAGTTTTCCAGGCTGAAAGGCCATGTTCCAAAAGCATTCTCTTCTGACATTTCGCCCACATCTATGGCAGGCATACACAGAGGTTGTGAGGTCTGTTGGAAACTAGGAAAATGGGGAATGTCCAGGGTGGGGGGAAAAACGGTTATCTGTTGGTGGTAGGTGTGAATGTTGCAACTGGTCACCTTGATTAGCATTGAATAGCCTAGCACAGTGTTTCTCAACCTGGGGGTCGGGACCCCTGAGGGGGTCGCGAAGGGGTGTCAGAGGGGTCGCCAAAGACCATCAGAAAACACAGTATTTTCTGATGGTCATGGGGATTCCATGTGGGAAGTTTGAGCCAATTCTATCGTTGGTGTTCAGAATGTTCTTTGATTGTAATGAACTATAAATCCCAGCAACTACAACTCCCAAAAGTCAAGGTCTATTTTCCCCAAACTCCAACAGTGTTCACATTTGTGCATATTGACTATTTGTGCCAAGTTTGGTCCAGATCCACCATTGCGCGAGTCCAGAGTGCTCTCTGGATATAGGTGAACTACAACTCCCAAACTCAAGGTCAATATCCACCAAACACTTCCAGTGTTTTCCGTTGGTCATGAGAGTTCTGTGTGGCAAATTAGATTCAAATCCATTGCTGGTGCAGTTCAGAATGCTCTTTGATTATAGGTGAACTATAAATCCCAGCAATTACAACTCCCAAATTACAAAATCAATTCTCCACCACCCCCACTAGCATTTACATGTGGTTGCATTGGGTATTTGTGCCCAGTTTGGTCCAGTGAATGAAAATACATCTTGCATATCTGATATTTACATTATGATTTATAACAGTAGTAAAATGACTGTTATGAAGTAACAAAAAAACAAAACAAACAATGTTATGGTTGGGGGTCACCACAACATGAGGGACTGTATTAAGGGGTTATGGCATTAGGAAGGTTAAGAACCACTGGCCTAGCAGTTTTCAAGGTGTAGCTTTTTACTGCCTGGTGGAATCCTTTGTTTAGAAGTGATTCGCTATGCCTGATGGTTTCTTGTCTGGAGTTCCCCTGTTAGCCTGAAGAAGAGAAGGCTTAGAGGAGACATGATAGCCATGTATAAATACATAAGAGCAGGGGTGGCTCGTCCATTACGCGAAGTAAGTGGTCGCAGAACACTTTTTTTGCCAGGGGCGCAGAGGCGCCTCTGTAAATGCCCCTCGACTGCCAATTGAGGAGCGCCCCCTCAGTTCACAACAGCCCTAGCAGTCCGGGGGGAGCCTCTGCTTTCTTGCCTCGCTGCCGGGCGATCCTCTTCCCAAAGGGGCCGGGCCCTTGAGCCTCGCCTAGCCCCTCTCGTTCCTGCTCCACCCGGCCACCGGTGCGCGAGCAGAGCCGGCGCTCAATCGTTCTCCGCGTTCGATCCCTTCCCCATGACCGGCTCCCTTTCCCGATCCCCTGGCGCTCCACCCGCCTCCTCTCCTCTCCCCAATCCGCGGGTGGGCCAAGGGGCGGAGCCGCCGCGCCTGGCCGCTTTGGGTCCGGAGGCGTGTCTGAAGACCCCAGCGTGCGCACCAAAAGTCGCCTCTTCTCCTGACTTTCTCTTCAGCCATTGGGACCAAGAGAGAGAGAGAGAGAGAGAGAGAGCCCCTCCGGCTGGAGGTATCTCCCACCTCCGCTCCCTCCTTTGTTTTTGCGCCTACCTTCAGGAAAGGTGGGCATCTCCACCCTCTGTCTCTCTCTCTCTCTCTCTCTCTCTCTCTCTTGGTCCCAATGGCTGAGGAGAAAGTCAGGAGAAGAGGTGACTTTTGGTGCACACGCCGGGGTCTTCAGGCACGCCTCCGGACCCAAAGCGGGCCAGGCAAGGGAGCAAATGCGGCAAGTGTAGTTACTGGGATGTATAGTTCACCTACAATCAAAGAGCATTCTGAACTCCACCAATGATGGAATTGAACCAAATATGGCACACAGAACTCCCACGACGAACAGAAAATATATATCAATGATTGGTGGGGGGGGAGGCGCCAAAATACTGTTTGCTTACCATTGAAAATTACCTAGGGCTGCCTCTGCATAAGAGGAAGTCATAGGGAGGAGGGAGCAAGCTTGTTTTCTGCTGCCCTGGAGACTAGGATGGAAGCCAGTGGAACAATGGCTTCAAACTACAAGAAAGGAGATTCCACCTGAACATGAGGAAGAACTTCCTGACTGTGAGAGTTGTTCAGCAGTGGAACTCTCTGTCCCGGAGTGTGGTGGAGGCTTTTTCTTTGGAAGCTTTTAAGCAGAGGCTGGATGGCCATCTGTTGGGAGTCCTTTAAATGCGATTTTCTTGCTTCTTGGCAGAATGGGGTTGGACTGGATGGCCCACAAGGTCTCTTCCAACTCTATGATTCTGAGGCTCCAAGATCTCTTACGCATGGACTGTTTTCAAGCCAGGTGTCACCCATCTGATGTGACCAAAGTGCATAAATTGTGATGTACGGTGGCTATGAAAACCAAGGAATCCTGCAGAAGTGCTCTTTCACCACTAACTTTTGTTTCCATCTCCAGCATCTCTTTCTGCAGGAGATGTTCCCAATATTTGGATGCTGCCCGGCAACTTTCAAAGCTGCCGGTGTATCTGGGTGGATTGTTTTACTCTTGCTCCCAATCCTCTTGTCTCCAAATGAGAATCACATCTGCTTGACAAAAGGAATCCAGTCGCCGATAAGATAAAAGGAACAAGACAGGTCCTTCATTCTGAGTGACGTTAAGGGCGAAACAGTCTGTCCTCCCTGCCAAAGCATTCGGGAAAATGTCTTTCTTCCCGATAGAATCTAGCCCAAAGTAAAACTCATTAGGTTAAGCCAGTGCAAAGAAAGTTATTGCGAGCGCTTTGCTATTGAACTCTAAAAAGCCAATTTTGAGAATAATTTAATGTCATTTCCCCTTCCCTCTCCTCCTGTGTTTTTAAAAGAGAGGTCATCCCATCAATCTTTCCGTTCTGCTCTTTTCCTCACTCCAAAGAAGCAGCCGAAGGGCTTTCAAATTCATTTTTAAAGATTTTTTTTTTATTGTATGGACTTAGTTTGCAAAGACTTGGAAGTTTCAACTTTTTGGACTATAGTTAACCTGATATAGCAGTGGTTTTCAACCTTCCTAATGCTGCGACCCCTTAGTACAGTTCTTCATGTTGTGGTGACCCCCAACCATAACATTATTTTTGTTGCTATTTCATAACTGTAATTTTGCTGCTGTTATGTATCGTAATGTAAATATCTGATATGCAGGATGTATTTTCATTCACTGCAACAAATTTGGCACAAATACCCAATATGCCCAAATATGAATACTGGTGGGGTTGGAGAGGGAATTGATTTTGTCATTTGGGAGTTGTAGTTGCTGGGATTTGTAGTTCACCTATAATCAAAGAGCATAGCGATAGAATTGAACCAAACTTGGCACACAGAACTCCCATGGCCAACAGAAACTTACTTACTTACTTGCTTACTTACTTAGGCAACCCCTCATAGCCCGAGGATGATGGTCCTCCAAGTCTGGTGTCTTGGCAGTGGGTCCGAAGGTGGCTGTGGAGTCCTATTATTGATCTACATGTTCTCCCACAGTGAGAACATTGGTTTCCAGATGGAAGGTGGTCCCAGTCAGGGTTGGATCGATGTGCCCTCCTCTTGGCATGTTTCTCCCTTTCTCCCTCCATTCGTTCTTCTTTGAATCCTGCAGCACTGCTGGTCACAGCTGACCTCCAATTAGAGCATTCAAGGGCCAGGTCTTCCCAGTTCTCAGTGTCTATGCTACAGTTTTTAAAGTTGGCTTCAAGCCCATCTAAAAATCTCTTTTCCTGTCCACCAATGTTACATTTCCCATTCTTGAGTTCAGAGTATAGTAACTGCTTTGGGAGAAACATGCCAGAAGAGTTTGGTGGGACTTGACATTGAGTTTTGGAGTTGTAGTTCAGCTACATCCAGAGAGCACTGTGGACTCAACCAATGATGGATCTGGACCAAACTTGGCATGAATACTCAATATGCACAAATGACACTGGTGGAGTTTGGGGAAAATACATCTTGACATTTGGGATTTGTAGTTGCTGGGATTTATAGTTCACCTACAATCAGAGCATTCTAAATCCCACCAACAATAGAGTTGGGCTGAACATCCTAACAATGGCTTCAAACTACAAGAGGAGATTCCATCTGAACGAGGAAGAACTTCCTGACTGTGAGAGCCGTTCAGCAGTGGAACTCTCTGCCCCGGAGCGTGGGGGAGGCTCCTTCTTTGGAAGCTTTTAAACAGAGGCTGGATGGCCATCTGTCAGGGGTGATTTGAATGCAATATTCCTGCTTCTTGGCAGGGGGTTGGACTGGATGGCCCATGAGGTCTCTTCCAACTCTTTGATTCTATGATTCTATGATTCTAGGATCCCCATGACCAACAAAAAATACTGGGTTTTCTGACCCTTCTGACACCCCCTCACTACCTCCCCAGGGGTCCCGACTCCCAGGTTGAGAAACACTGAGATAATTATAGTACAATCATGAACAGCAGCCGGTAGACTGTTAGGAATTGTGGGAGTTGAAGTCCAAAACCCCTCGAGGGCCAAAGTTTGCCCATGCCTGGTCTAGATCCATTACCTTCAATGGCAAGCCATTGCAATTATACCTTCTGTCCCAGCAGAAATAGTCTAAAATGGGAATCAATCAGTGCACATGTTCCTGCTTATCTCTCTTTTCTGAAATCGAAATAATCTCCTTCCTGCTCTAAGTTACCCACATAGAATCATAGAATCAAAGAGTTGGAAGAGACCTGGGCCATCCAGTCCAACCCTATTCTGCCAAGAAGCAGGAATATTGCATTCAAATCACCCCTGACAGATGGCCATCCAGCCTCTGTTTAAAAGCTTCCAAAGAAGGAGCCTCCACCACACTCCAGGGCAGAGAGTTCCACTGCTGAACTGCTCTCACAGTCAGGAAGTTCTTCCTCATGTTCAGATGGAATCTCCTTCTCTTGTAGTTTGAAGCCATTGTTCCGCGTCCTAGTCTCCAGGGAGGCAGAAAACAAGCTTGCTCCCTCCTCCCTGTGGCTTCCTCTCACATATTTATACATGGCTATCATGTCTCCTCTCAGCCTTCTCTTCTTCAGGCTAAACATGCCCAGCTCCTAAGCCGCTCCTCATAGGGCTTGTTCTCCAGACCCTTGATCATTTTAGTCGCCCTCCTCTGGACACATTCCAGCTTGTCACAGTTCATTGTCATATCAAAACAGAGCCAAACTTGATTAGTTTTAAACTGATGTGTTCTCAAAACAAACCAAGATGACAATCCACATTTTGATCAAAAGGTCATTTTCGTAGAAGCACATATATAATGACATCTCTTAACACTTTTTAAATTGCAGATTGGGTTGGTGACGACCTTGATATCGACCGTCGTCACGATGTGCTCGATAGCCCAGCTGTGGGACGATGAGTGGGACATGGTGGTTATATCACTACAGGTAAGTATCTTGAAAAATGAGGGGAATTAAGGGAAATATGCCCTGACGCCTTTCATCTGTGGAAAGGAAGAAAAGAAAGTTGAATCTCCATTCCTTGTGTGTCTTTCATTGAACAAAAGAACGACACGTGAATGTTGATACCAGGGCAGCCATCCTACCTGCTACACCACATCTTTCCCTGACCTGGCATAACTTTAGGGGTGAAGCTAGTTTTGTGGGATTTTTCTCCCTATAAGCTGAACTTTTCAATATTTATTTATCGTGTCAGTGCAACCAGTCGGTTATATTACATTTCTAACAGAACAAAGCAAAAAAAATAAAATACAAAAATTGTGAGTTTGATAGTTGATTAAATGTCCTTTGACCAGTATCTGGCCACTTGGAGTGCTTCTGGTGTTGCTGCAAGAAGGTCCTCCATTGTGCATGTGGCAGGGCTCAGGTTGCATTGCAGCAGGTGGTCAGTGGTTTGCTCTTCTCCACACTCGTATGTTGAGGATTCCACTTTGTAGCCCCATTTCTGAAGGTTGGCTCTGCATCTCGTGGTGCCAGAGCGCAGTCTGTTCAGCGCCTTCCAAGTCGCCCAGTCCTCTGTGTGCCCAGGGGGGAGTCTCTCATTTGGAATCAGCCATTGGTTGAGGTTTTGGGTTTGAGCCTGCCACTTTTGGACTCTTGCTTGCTGAGGTGTTCCGGCGAGTGTCTCTGTAGATCTTAGAAAACTATTTCTAGATTTAAGTCGTTGACGTGCTGGCTGATACCCAAACAGGAGATGAGCTGGAGATATCTCTGCCTTAGTCCTTTCACTATTGGCTGCTACTGCCCGGCGGATGTCACGTGGGGCAATACCGGCTAACTTTTCAATAGAAACATGCATACTTCATCCTCCCTGGCTGTGGTTGTCATGGCAATGCTTTGAGCCTAGCTATCTTTTCTGTGTCGGCAGGTACCTGGCTTCTTCCCCCCCCCCCCCCCCCCGAATGGACCAATTTGAACTCTGGTTTGTTTTGGTTTCTTTGTAATTTTGGAGCTCTTTTTCTTGCCAGCACAGTGCGAAACACAAGAAGGAAAGCTGGGAGGATGGGATCTGTGGTTGCCATGGAAAGAAACAAGTACCAGAAAGCCTGCGGGATGGCAAACACTTTGTCATCCATTAGCAGCCTGTATTTCGATTTTCAAAAACCTGGGCACCCTTTTTCCTCCCTTCCTATGCTCTGAATTGAAAGGGAAAAGGTGATCGAGAACCCACTCTTCCACATCTATTGCATTTTGCATTGAAGTGCTGGTGTTTGGTCACTGTTGTATGTCTGCCTGTTCAGCTGTGATTGTGTCTGATAATCAAGTTGCTTTGGATGATGGGAATGACAATGATGTTCATGTTCAAGCTGATTTACCTGATGGAAATTTATTTATTTATTTATTTATTTAACATGTCAGTTATGTATCGTTATTTATCAACCAGACAATTGTATTACATTTTAAACAAATTTTTGACAAACAGACAAAACAGAGTTTGTAAGCTTGGTAGTTGATTAAATGTCCTTTGACCAGTATCTGGCCCCTTGGAGAGACTCTGGTGTTGCCGCAAGAAGGTCCTCCATTGTTCATGTGGCAGGGCTCAGGTTGCATTGCAGCAGGTGGTCAGTGGTTTGCTCCTCTCTGCACTCGCATGTCATGGATTCCACTTTGTGGCCCCATTTCTTAAGGTTGGCTCTGCATCTTGTGGTGCCAGAGCACAGTCTGTTCAGCGCCTTCCACGTCACCCAGTCTTTTGTGTGCCCAGGAGGGAGTCTCTCATTTGGTATCAGCCATTGATTGAGGTTCTGGGTTTGAGCCTGCCACTTTTGGACACTTGATTGCTGAGGTGTTCTAGTGAGTGTTTCTGTAGATCTTAGAAAACTATTTCTTGATTTAAGTCATTGACGTGCTGGCTGATACCCAAACAAGGGATGAGCTGGAGATGTCTCTGCCTTGGTCCTTTCACTATTGGCTGCTACTTCCTGGCGGATATCAGGTGGTGCAATACCGGCTAAACAGTGTAATTTTTCCAGTGGTGTAGGGCGCAGATACCCCGTGATAATGCGGCATGTCTCATTAAGAGCCACATCCACTATTTTAGTGTGGTGAGATGTGTTCCACACTGGGTATGCATACTCAGCGCTAGAGTAGCATAGCGCAAGGGCAGATTATTATTTATTATTTACTTTATTTCTATACCGCTTTTCTCAGCCCTTAGGCGACTCAAAGCGGTTTACACAACAATGCAAAATATCACAAAACAGTATAATGCAATTAAAACAGATTATAACATCAACAATTAACATCAGTATAACAATCATAACACCTCAACAATAAAATCAGAATCCACTCTCATTATCCATTGTTCCGTATTCCTATGTTCAATTTCACAGTTTAGTCAAACGCTTGTTCGAATAGCCAGGTCTTCACCTTCCTCCGAAACGCCAACAGCGAGGGGGCGATCTGATCTCTGCAAGTAGGGCATTCTTCACTGTGTCTGGTTGTGATCCCCAGGTTGTGCCAGTCAGCTTTCGTATGATATTGATATCATACGAATGATATTCTAGCACCCACTTTTTGCTTGATGTTCAGGCAGTGCTTCTTGTAGGTCAGAGCATGGTCCAGAGTGACTCCCAGGTATTTAGGTGCGCTGCAATGCTCCAGTGGGATTCCTTCCCAGGTGATCCTCAGAGCTCGGGATGCTTGTCTGGTCTTGAGATGAACAGCACATGTCTGTGTTTTAGATGGGTTAGGGATCAGCTGGTTTTCCCTGTAATAGGCAGTAAGAGCACCTAGATCTTCGGAGAGCTTCTGTTCAACCATCTCAAAGCTCCCTGCTTGAGCAGTAATGGTACGATCATCAGCATAGATGAAGCTCTCTGTCCCTTCTGGCAGTGGCTGGTCATTTGTGTAAATGTTGAACAGGGGACGCCCGGATGTCTTGCAATCCTGCAAGGAGGCTTCTCTCATTCCCCCCCCCCCCCATGGAGATGAGGATGCTGTTCATCAAGATGTTCCTGAAGGGAATGAGGATGATGGTCTGTTTCCTGGGCCTGGTTTTGGACATGTGGGGTGTGAATGCAGTTTAGATGATGGGTCACAGAGGCCTGTATTTCTGGAAAAGGATTCTCAAGGTCTTGAGCTTGGGAAAGGCTCTGTGCCCCAGTTCCCCGGTCAGTTATCTCCAGGTGAAGATTTTTATGAAGCCTTGCAGTGAAGCCTTGAACAGGAAAGTGTTTTTAACCAGCGAAGACAAACAGGACAGTAGTTGCAGCACTCAGCCAGATTACAGCAGAAGTTAGAAGTGAAACCAAAATTGAGAAAAAATCCTTTCCTAGCTGTTTGGGAAATAGGGCAGGGATATAAGTGCCAAGTACAGAATCTAGATTCAGATGAAGCAATGTTGGATCCATGTTAAGTTCTTCATGCCAAGTTCTTGGACTCTTGTCTTTGTTTGATTCATGAATTAATTTTATTTATTTATTTATTTACAGTTTTTATATTCCGCCCTTCTCACCCCGCAGGGGACTTAGGGCGGATTACAATGTACACATAGATGGCAAAAATTCAATACCAAAGACACACAACACATATAGACAGACAGTCAGAGGCTATTTAATATTCCACTTTTCTGGCTGCCAGGGGAGCTGTCGCTTTCATAGTCCATCTGCGACACTGATGAAGTACTTCCGCATTCCCCGCATGCTTTTGCTGGGGTGCTTTGCTGGAGTCTTTTTTATGGCCTCGTAAATTAGTTAAATTAGCTTCCCCACACATAGTTGGTACCTAATTTTCCTACTTGACAGATGCAACTGTCTTTTGGGTTGCAAAGGTCGACAACAAGCTACACAATTAGTCGGAAGCTCACTCCAACCCAGGCTGGCTTCAAACTCATGACCTTCGGTCAGAAGTGATTTTAATGCAGCTGACACTCAGCCAGCTGTGCCACAGTCCCGGTGAATTAAGTGCCTTTGCTGTTATTTGCCTTTGAAATCAAGTATCTAGTTTAATGGATTTTTTTTACTATTTCTCTTTGGACTAATTGTTCCTATTTCTTCCTAATCAATTGGATTACTTTTTAATGTGGATCGCTTTTATTTGCTTTGGCTTATATTACCCTCAATAAACTGCTTGCTATTTTAACCCATCTGTCTGCTCTGGAGTGCAACAGTTACAAATTGAGCAGATTATAAGTCGTGTTTTGTGTAATGGGATAGATTTTGCCGGATTTTTTAAAATATTGTTATTATATAATACATAACAGTATAAAAAGTATTTACAAACAAATGCCATCTGCAGCCCTTAAAACGTCACTAATCTAGGAAGACGTGAGCAACCGGAAGGATTATTGCTAATGCAAAACAAAGCAGCAGGATGAATTAGTTTACACAATGCTCAGTGTAAAGGGTGACTTTTCACAAAGCTCTCAGGACTCTTTCTTCCTCCAAGAGCAAAGTAAGGAAATTCAAGAGCAAAGTGAGGACCTCACTACCTCTGAGGATGCTTGCCATAGATGCAGGCGAAACGTCAGGAGAGAATGCTTCCAGAACATGGCCATATAGCCCGAAAAAACCTACAATAGCCCAGTGATTCCGGCCATGAAAGCCTTCGACAATACATTGTTTTTCTTGCTGTGTTATCTTTTGTTGAGTCAAAAGCCTCTCTGTGGTAGAACTGCAATTGAAGAGATAGTGCTGCTTTAATGGGGCTATAGCCCAGGCATGGGCAAACTTTGGCACTCCAGGTGTTTTGGACTTCAACTCCCGCAATTCCTAACAGCCTCAGGCTCCTTCCTCCCTTCACTTAAGTGGCTGAGGGGGAAAAGGAAGGGACTGGATGTTGTTAGGGATTGTGGGAGTTGAGGTCCAAAACAGCTGGAGGGCCGAAGTTTGCCCACGCCTGGACTATAGAATCAAAGTCAATGGACCTTAGTGGCCACCCAATCCAATGCAAGAATTGTGCATTTTATGGCAATATTATTGGCAAATAAACTTAACTCTGGGTTGTTGTAGGTTTTTTTGGGCTTTATGGCCATGTTCTAGAACAGTGGTTCTCAACCTTTCTGATGCCGCGACCCCTTAATACAGTTCTATATGTTGAGCTGACCCCCAACCATGAAATTATTTACGTTGCTACTTCATAACTGCAATTTTGTTACTGTTAGGAATCATCATGTAAATAACTGATATGTAAGATGTATTTTAATTCAGTTGATCAAATTTGGCACAAATACCCGATACGCCCACATTTGAATGCTGGTGGAGTGGGGTGGGGGGACTGATTTTGTCATTTGGGATTTATAGTTCACTTACAATCAAAGAGCATTCTGAACTCCACCAGGAATGGAATTGAACCAAATTTGGCACACAGAACTCCCATGCCCAACAGAAAATATTGGAAGGGTTTGGTGGGCATTGACCTTGAGTTTGGGAGTTGTAGTTCACCTACATCCAGAGAGCACTGTGGACTCAAACAATAGATCTGGACCAAACTTCACATTAATACTCAATATGCCCAAATGTGAACACTGGTGGAGTTTGGGGAAATTAAAGCTTTGTATTCAGGAGTTGTAGTTGCTGGGATTTATAGTTCACCTACAATTAAAGAGTCCCTTGAACCGCACCAATGATAAAATTGGTCCAAACTTCCAATACAGAACCCCCATGACCAACAGAATGTACTGGAGGGATTTGGGATGAATTGACAGTGATTTAGCGGAGATGTAGTTCACCTTCCACCTTACTGATGGGTCTTTGGTGACCCCTCTGACACCCCCTCGCGACCCCCCCAGGGGTCTTGATCCCCAGGTTGAGAAACGCTGTTCTAGAAGCATTCTCTCCTGACGTTTTGCCTGCATCTACGGCAAGCATCCTCAGAGGTGCATGCTATCCTCACTACCTCTGAGGATGCTTGCCATACATGCAGGCGAAACATCAGGAGAGAATGCCTCTAGAACATGGCCATATAACCCGAAAAAACCTACAACAACCCAGTGATTCCGGTCATGAAAGCCTTCGACAAAACTTAACTCTGTGTTGGTACCTTCGCCTTCTGAGGCTGCTTCAGTCATTGCTGAATATCTCTTATCTTCAGCAAGAGTTTCCAAATAGTTAGACAGAATGTGTTTCTCCTCCGTCTCCATCTGATACTTCTAATTCTGCCCTTTAGAGCAACACAGAACATTTTAAATATCTGAAGGAATGTCATCACAAGGAGGTTGAAGTGACCTTATTTTCTGCTGCTCAGGAGGACAGATGAATGGATTTAAATGATAAGAAAGAAGATTCTGATGAAACATTAGGGAGAACTTCCTGTTCGTCATTGTTATTCGAGTGTTGCACCCTAGCACTGGAACACCCTTCCACCCAGCACCACAACAGAGTCCAGGGATCAAATAACAACATGTTCGTTAAGAAAGTAGATAAAAAGGGGAAAAGAGGCAAATCCAAAAGTACAGTCAGAATAAATGCAAATTTGTTTCATAAAGATCGAGTAGACAGAACATATTGTAAAGAACAAAATTAACTTTCTGGCCTTGCATTGCACATTTTAGTGCAAATATTAAAGACACAAATAGTGTTCAATTCAGCAAGTTTTGCAGAATGTCATGCCCCAGTTCACTTCAAAAAGGAGTTAAAGATCAGTAGCAATAATCCAGAAATGCAAGGTTAAAGACCAAAATCATGGAATCCTAATTCACAGCATTAATCCAAAGGTATATTCATGAACATGAAAACAGGACAATTGTATTACATTTCTAACAGAACAAAACAAACAAACAAACAGACAGACAGACAGACAAAACACAAATTTTGCAAGCTTGGTAGTTGATTAAATGTCCTTTGACCAGTATCTGGCCACTTGGAGTGCCTCTGGTGTTGCTGCAAGAAGGTCCTCCAATGTGCATGTGGCAGGGCTCAGGTTGCATTGCAGCAGGTGGTCAGTGGTTTGCTCTTCTCCACACTCGCATGTTGTGGATTCCACTTTGTAGCCCCATGTCTTAAGGTTGGCTCTGCATCTTGTGGTGCCAGAGCGCAGTCTGTTCAGCGCCTTCCAAGTCGCCCAGTCTTCTGTTTGCCCAGGGGAGAGTCTCTCATTTGGTATCAGCCATGGATTGAGGTTCTGGGTTTGAGCCTGCCACTTTTGAACTCTTGCTTGCTGAGGTGTTCCAGCGAGTGTCTCTGTAGATCTTAGAAAACCATTTCTTGATTTAAGTCGTTGATGTGCTGGCTGATACCCAAACAGGGGATGAGCTGGAGATGTCACTGCCTTGGTCCTTTCACTATTGGCTACTACTTCTCTGCAAATGTCAGGTGGTGCAATACCGGCCAAACAGTGTAATTTCCCCAGTGGTGTCGGGCGCAGACACCCCGTGATAATGCAGCATGTCTCATTAAGAGCCACATTCACTGTTTTAGCATGGAGAGATGTGTTCCACATTGGGCATGCATACTCAGCAGCAGAGTAGCATAGCGCAAGGGCAGATGTCTTCACTGTGTCTGGTTGTGATCCCCAGGTTGTGCCAGTCAGCTTTCGCATGATATTGTTTCTAGCACCCACTTTTTGCTTGATCTTCAGGCAGTGCTTCTTGTAGGTCAGAGCATGGCCCAGGGTAACTCCCAGGTATTTAGGTGTGCCTTCAAAGGTAGATAGGCGTAAACAGGAACACGAATCAGGAATCTTGATGAAACAGAAACCATGAACTTGGAATCATGAATAGGAGAACTATCCCCAATAGCAATGTTGTCTCTTCTGAAAGACCTGTAACCAAACTAATTTAAGTCTGCCAAGGCACTCATGACATCGTCTTTAACACACCTGGACTTCAAAGCCCTATCTCTAATTCTTTGGGAATGTCTTAATTGCGTTCCTTGCATCCTGAGGTCTAATCTACACTCCCTTGAGAACTCTTCGGCTTCTTAAGGCCATTTCTCCAGGGAACTAGTAGTTTCACTTTCCCCTGTTGTCTAAGAGCAAGCTAGAGGATCCAAAACATCACTCTCATATATCTGCAATTCCCCCTGCACAGACTGCTCACTTGGAAACCCATCATCACACTCATGCTCAGTTTTGATGTTTTATACTTTTTTTTAATCAATGGCATTGAATTGTTGCCAACACTGTGAACTGCCCTGAGTCCCCTTTGGGGTTGAGAAGGGTAGTATATAAATACCCCAAATAAATAATAAATAAATCCTCTGAACATTCAGAGAAATCTTCTGATGCTTGCCTGACTACAACAAATGCTAGACCCTTTTTGTTGAAAATGTGTAAGTCGAATTTGAATGCATACTTCTCAGGAGTAGAGTGACAGATTCTTGTATTGGCAGAAGGTTATTTATTATTATTTATTTCAGAGTTTTATATAACAACCTTCTCACCTCTTTTGAGGGACTCAGACCAGTTTCCAACCATAAAAACACATACAATCGGTAAAAACATCATAGTTCATATTACAATAACACATTAAAACAACAAATATATCCAAAACTACAGTGGTCAGTCGTCATATTAAAAAAACAATTATATATCATCTTCCATCCATGTCTTAGGGTGTTGTCTCACTCATCAAAAGCCTGTCTCCATAACCACGTCTTCACCTGTTTCCTGAATGTCAGGATAGAAGGGGCGGTTCTGATCTCCGGTGGGAGAGAGTTCCAGAGTTGCAGGGCCACCACCGAGAAGGCCCTGTCCCTCATCCCCACCAGATGCGCTTGTGAGGCCGGTGGGACCGAGAGCAGGGCCTCTACAGACGATCTTAATAATCTTGATGGTTCATAGGGGAGAATACGTTCGGAGAGGTAAACAGGGCCGGAGTCGTTTAGGGCTTTATAGGTTAACACCAGCACTTTGAATTGTGCTTGGAAGCTAATAGGCAGCCAGTGGAGCTGGTGTAACAGCGGAGTGGTTGTGCTCCCTGTACCCAGCACCCGTTAGTAGTCTGGCTGCCGAGCGTTGGACTAGCTGCAGCTTCCGGGCATCTTCAGAGGCAACCCCACGTAGAGAGCGTTGCAGTAGTCTAAACGGGATGTAACCAAAGCGTTGGACTATCAAATCATAGAGTTGGAATAAGGTTGGACTATCGAATCATAGAGTTGGAAGAGACTCCAAAGGCTATCCAGTCCAACCCTTTTCTCTCATGCAGGAATATACAACCCAAGCCCTCCCAACAGATGGACATCCAGCCGTTATTATTTATTTATTTACAACATTTCTATGCTGCCCTTCTCAACCCCTGAGGGGGGACTCAGAGTGGCTAACACTGGCAACAATTCGATGCCACAATATCACAATAACAACAATATAAAACCATAAATACACAACAGATTAAAACAATAACATTAATTATACAATCATAGCCATTTCCGTTATCATAACAATCATCATATGATCTAGTTCAATGTCCAAAGTGCCATTGTGCCTGCTAATCAAAAAGCCTGGTTCCAAAACCTTGATTTCAGTTTTTTCCTAAAAGAAAGGAGGGAGGACGCCAATCTAATCTCGCTGAGGAGTGAATTCCACAAGCAGGGGGTCACCACCGAGAAAGCCCTGTCCCTCGTCCCCACCAGACGCGTTTGCGAGGCTGGTGGGACCAAGATCCACCGGTGGATCTTAAACTATGAGGCGAAACGTAGAGGGAGATACGTTCGGACAAGTAAGCTGGGTCGGAGTCGTATAGGGCTTTATAGGCCAAGACCATTGTCTATAAAACTACAGAGTAGAAGATTCCACTTCACTCTGAGGCATCATATTCCACTGTCAAACAGCTCTAACCATCATCAGGTGGAATTTCTTTTATCTCCTGTTACTACTTGTTTAGGCTGTAAATACGAAGGCGTTTTAACTACTTGACTCTCTTGTCTCTTTTTAGGCAACGGCTCCTTTCCTGCATATCGGGGCCCTTGTGGCTGTTACGGCACTCTCCTGGTTGATCTCTCTCCAGTTTGCAAGATCTGAAAGAGCCAGTGAGTAGCGGCTTTCTTTTTTTACTTGGCACTGAAGAGTGAGAATGACATGTAAGAGAAAAAAAAAAAGATCTGTTTCGGGTAGGAGCTTAAGTAGGATTTCAAGCAGCTTGACAGATCCGGGTGCTATTGTTTTTCTTTAATATAAACACTACATCGGGCTTAATGCACAGAGAAAGAGAAGGGACAATTCATCTAGATCTAGATCTAAGGAAGTAATGCTCCCCATGCTCTATTCCGCTTTGGTTAGACCACCTGGAATATTGTGTCCAATTCTGGGCACCACAATTCAAGAGAGATATTGACAAGCTGGAATGTGTCCAGAGGAGGGCGACTAAAATGATAAAGGTCTGGAGAACAAGCCCTATGAGGAGCGGCTTAAGGAGCTGGGCATGTTTAGCCTGAAGAACAGAAGACTGAGAGGAGACATGATAGCCATGTATAAATATGTGAGAGGAAGCCACAGGGAGGAGGGAGCAAGCTTGTTTTCTGCTTCCCTGGAGAAAGACTAGGACGCAGAACAATGGCTTCAAACTACAAGAGAGGAGATTCCATCTGAACATGAGGAAGAACTTCCTGACTGTGAGACCTGTTCAGCAGTGGAACTCTCTGCCCCGGAGTGTGGTGGAGGCTCCTTCTTTGGAAGCTTTTAAACAGAGGCTGGATGGCCATCTGTCGTGGGTGATTTGAATGCAATATTCCTGCTTCTTGGCAGAATGGGGTTGGACTGGATGGCCCATGAGGTCTCTTCCAACTCTTCTATGATTCTATGATTCTTGGGGGAAAATAGACCTTGACATATGCGAGTTGTAGTTACTGGGATGTATAGTTCACCTACAATCAAAGAGCATTCTGAACTCCACCAATGATGGAATTGAACCAAATATGGCACACAGAACTCCCACGACGAACAGAAAATATATATCAGTGATTGGTTGGGGGGGGGGGGGGGGGGGGGGTGTGCCAAAATACTGTTTGCTTACCGTTGAAAATTACCTAGGCTTTTTGCATGTTACAGGAAAAAGCTGTGGCTTTTATTGATCCCCTTTTTGGAGGAGTCTTTAATCTAATCGTGTTCCCCTTCCATCCTGCTTCCGCCTTCAGCCTCTCAGGTGCTGACATTTGCAGCCTACTTTGCGGTGGTCCTCGCTCTTTACCTTATCCCGCTCACCATCTCTTCCCCTTGCATAATGGAGAGGAAAGACCTGGGACCCAAGCCTGCCATTATTGGTCATGGTGGAGCACCCATGGTAAGTGGCATCTTATATTGCTCTGTCTATTATTTGTTTATTTGCAGCATTTATATTCCGCCCTTCTCACGCCGAAGGGGACTCAGGGCGGATCACAGAACACATACATGTATTTCTATCCCATCACTTCTCAACCCCGAAGGGGGACTCAGGACAGCTTACAATGGGCCCCATTATGAGGCCACTACATAACAATTACAATAATAAAACCACAATTGAACATAAATCATAGTCAAGCAATACATAAGCACAGTTAAAACTTGTGCGCTAGCTGCGCCCGTCCCTTGGGAAGTCTGACTTGGCCACGGTAGTCCACGCTCTGGTTACATCCCGCATAGACTACTGCAACGCTCTCTACGTGGGGTTGCCTTTGAAGACTGCTCGGAAGCTTCAAATGGTCCAGCGCTCGGCAGCCAGGTGGCTAACAGGAGCGGCACTCAGGGAGCATACTACTCCTCTGTTGCGCCAGCTCCACTGGCTACCAGTTTGCTACCGGGCACAATTCAAAGTGCTGCCGTTAGCCTATAAAGCCCTAAACGGTTCTGGCCCTACTTACCTCTCCGAACGCATCTCCTCCTATGAACCGACCAGGACATTAAGATCATCTGGGGAGGCCCTGCTCTCGATCCCGCCTGCATCACAGGCATGCACTGAGAACTGGGAAGCCCCGGCCCTTGACCGCTCCAGCTGGAGGTCAGCTGTGACCAGCAGTGCTGCAGAATTTGAGGAGGCACGAGTGGAGGGTGAAAAAGAGAAGCGTGCCAAGAGGAAGGCGCGTCAAGCCAACCCCGGCCGAGACCGCCTTCCACCTGGAAACCAATGCCCTCACTGCGGAAGAAGATGCAGAGCAAGAATAGGGCTCCACAGTCACCTACGGACCCACAAGAATATTGGAAGACAATCATCCTCGGAAAGCGAGGGATCGCCTAAGTAAGTAAGTAAGTAAGTGGCGGGGACGAGAGACAGGGCCTTCTCAGTGGTGACCCCTCGGCTGTGGAACGCCCTGCCTGCAGATATCAGATTGGCCTGCTCCCTGCTGGCGTTTCGGAGGAAAGTGAAGACCTGGCTGTTCGAACAAGCATTTGATTAAACAGTGTAATTGAACATAGGAATATGGAATAATGGATGATGAGACTGGATTCTGATTTGACTGTTGAGGCGCTAATGATTGTTATACTGATGTTAATGATTTATGTGATAATTGTTTTGAATTGCCCTATACTTATTTTGTGATATTTTGTACTGATGTTGTTCATCACTTTGAGTCGCCTGAGGGCTGAGACAAGCGGTATAGAAATAAAGTAAATAAGTAAATAATAAAATAAATAAGCAATCATTAAAAACAATAAAACAATCTTGTCAGCCATATTGTCATTCCAGTCATGGCCCTCTAAAGTGCTGCTTACATCTATTGTCTGAAAGCCTGGTCCCAAAACCATGCCTTTAATTTCTTTCAAAAAACCAGGAGGAGGGAGCTGATCTTACCTCCGTTGGGAGTGTGTTCCATAGGCGGGGAGCCACTGCTGAGAAGGCCCTGTCTCTCATCCCCGCCAGACATATTTGTGCTGTTGATGGGAGTGAGAGCAGGGCCTCCCCAGATGATCTTAGATTACGAGGTGGGACATAGGGGTGGATGCGTTCGGACAAGTAAGCTGGGCCAGAACTGTATAGAGCTTTATAGGTCGGAACCAGCACTTTGAATTAGGTTCGGAGATGGACTGGCAGCCAGTGGAGCTGGCATAACAGGTGGGTGGTATGTTACCTGTATGTTTCTCCAGTTAGTAATCTGGCTGCCGACCGTTGGACTAGCTGAAGTTTCCGAACCATCTTCAAAGGCAGCCCCACGTAGAGTGTGTTGCAGTAATCTATTTGGGATGTAACCAGAGTGTGGACTACCGTGGCCAAGGTACAGGAGCAGCTGGCACACAAGTTTTAACTGTGCAAAAATTCCCCTGGCCAGGCTCAGCAATGAATCCAGGATCACCCCCAAGCTGTATAGGCAGGAAGCAACCAGTTTTTGAAGCTGCAAAGCTATTCAGTGCTAATCAATCTGTCCAATTGCAACATTCACACTTGCCTCAAACAGACAAGAGTTCTTTCTCCCACCCTGGACATTCCAGACAGACAGACAGACAGACAGACCGACAGACAGACTGACCAACTGACTGACCGACAGACTGACCAACTGACTGACCGACAGACAGACTGACAGACCAACTGACCGACAGACCGACCGAAGACAGGCAGACAGGCAGACCGACAGACTGACCGACAGACAGACAGACAGACCGAACCACAGACCGACAGACCGACAGACAGATCGACAGACAGATTGACAGACCGACCGACAGACAGACAGACCGACCGACCGACAGACAGACCGACCTCACAACCTCTGAGGCTTTCTGCCATAGATGTGGAGAGAATGCTTCTGGAACATGGCCATACAGCCTGGAAAACTCACAGTAACAAAGTGACCTCACTTTGGTAGATGAGTCCCAAATGCTGACTCTTATATCTGTGTGCCTTGAGGCAGAGAGAAGCCGCGTGGTGCTCCTTTAAAGCCTCATGTTGCTCCCTTAAAGCATTAAAGACTTTTGGGAAGAAGAGCAAGGCACGAAGCAAAACACCTTGAGTTAAAGAGATTTGAGAAACAGAAGTGAAAAACAAGAAAGCAGGCATGCATATAGGGTTCCCTCTATTCCAAACTGTTCTATAGCAACCACGGGCAAACTTTGGCCCTCCAGGTGTTTTGTACTTCAACTCCCACAATTCCTAATAGCCAGGAGACTTTTAGGAATTGTGGGAGTTGAAATCCAAAATACCTGGAGGGCCAAAGTTTACCCATGCCTGCTCTATAGCAAATGTTGATGCTTTGTCACTTTCAGCAAAGGAATCATAGAATCCTAGAGTTGGAAGAGACCATCCAGTCCAACCCCCTGCCAAGAAGCAATAATATTTCATTCAAAGCACCCCTGACAGATGGCCATCCAGCCTCTGTTTAAAAGCTTCCAAAGAAGGAGCCTCCACCACACTCCAGGGCAGAGAGTTCCACTGCTGAACAGCTCTCACAGTCAGGAAGTTCTTCCTCATGTTCAGATGAAATCTCCTTTCTTGTAGTTTGAAGCCATTGTTCCATTGCGTCCTAGTCTCCAGGGAAGCAGAAAACAAGCTTGCTCCCTCCTCCCTGTGGCTTCCTCTCACATATTTATACATGGCTATCATATCTCCTCTCAGCCTTCTCTTCTTCAGGCTAAACATGCCCAGCTCCTTAAGCCACTCCTCATAGGGCTTGTTCTCCAGACCCTTGATCATTTTAGTCGCCCTCCTCTGGACACATTCCAGCTTGTCAATATCTCTCTTGAAGTGTGGTGCCCAGAATTGGACACAATATTCCAGGTGTGGTCTAACCAAAGCAGAATAGAGGGGTAGCATGACTTCCTAAGATCTAGACACTATGCTCCTATTGATGCAGGCCAAAATCCCATTGGCTTTTTTTGCCACCACATCACATTGTTGGCTCACCTGAATAAATCATTGGTTTTTTTTTCTCAAATAAAGCTTACTATTTTGTCTTCCTTCTTAGTTTTCTGCAAGCACCCGTCAAATGTTTCAGGAAGGGAAGGCAAATCCATTCACTCACAGACTGCCAGGCATCGGAACGTTGTTCGCAAACTATCTTTTCCTCCAGCTCCTTTTTCTCCACTTTGCTTTTAACAATACCAACAGGAGCGACATTGTTCTGGCCCTGCTTCAGATGCCTGACTCTCAGCCAAGTCTGTTTACTTCCCCTCACTCATTATCTTAATGCTTACTGCCAAAGGCAGTCTGTTAAAAGCAGCTAATTCTCCTACTAATACATGTTGATCTTTGGCTTAACTCAAACATATGCTCTGCGAAAGGAGTTGTGTACTGGCAGCTGTTGCAAGGCAAGAAGGGAGCCCTAATTAAAACCCTAAAGATTTGGCATGCCCTGAAATAGAAGATGTGTAGGCTTAATTGTGTGTGTGTTTTTTCCCTACCTTCAAGGTAAAGGTGACAAAGCCTCACAATTAATCTGGCAAACTTGAGTAATAGGATTGTAGAATTCCAAAGATGTTCAGCAAATGTGGTGCTGAGATGCCTCAAAAACTTTTTGCTGCTTGAGGCAAAGGGCAACATGGTGACCATTCTCAATTCCAAATGCAAAATATGGATTATATTAATACACCACACCTTGGTTCGGGAAAAATACAGTCCTTTTTATTGAATGATGAATAGAAAATAGATTGAAGTCCAAAGGTAAAAAAAAGCCAGAATGAAACAGCAAACAGCAATGTCCAGAAAGCTTGCAGAAAATCCAAAACAGTTATGTCCAGAAAACTCTCAATAGAAATCCACGTACAGATCAGCCCCTGCTAATCTCACTTGAAGCCAGAAATTCCCTTAGATACCAGACCACTGGAAACTGGAAAACCCAGGAGGTTTGTACTTGATACTAAATGATGCTTGGTCTGAGGAAATCCCCCTCAAGGGCACTCTTAAATCCGCAAAACGTATTCCGGCTAACTCTAATCTTTGTTTTCAGTTGTTGGATTCTCTCGGACCTACGTAAACATTGAGCCTCCCTGCGGTTCTGGCTTATCTCCGAGCTGCGGCTGTTATCATTGACCCAACCAGGTGTCAAGTTATCTTGCAAGCTCACGCCAGGAGGAAAAGGGAGTGAATTTTCTTCTCTCGGTCTGACATAAACTTTCTCATGAGAATTTGGCTTTTCCCTTGAAGTCTCTAAATCAAAGCCTGTAGGATTTTTACTGCCCAAAGTGTCTCCGTTTTGAACCTCGTCCTCATTGACCACTTCAGCCTCACTATCCAAACTAGGCCCATCAACCTTAGCATCAACATGCTAGGCGCTGGCGCTACACCCGTCACCACTGGTAAAGAGTCTGGGAATCCTTTTGGACCCTCTGCTGACGATGGAGGCCCAGGTCTCCGCCACTAGCAGAACCGCTTTTTTTCAT